CCCCAAAACCCCAAAACCCCAAAACCCCATGCAATATTTTAAGTTTAAAAAAGACTAAAAAGCAATTGATAAGAATAGTGATAATTAATTTGAAAATGTCAATTGCTCCCATCGTAAGTATAGAATTTAAATTTACCCTTTTAAGATGATATAAAGTTTGGATACTTTCACTAGACAATAAAGCAATAATCACTTATAGAATTAAGGTACTGTGGCTTCTACCCCAAAGAACTGATCAAAATGAAATGGGGTTAATGCTAGGTAGGATACTGTAGAGACAGATTAGTAATCTGGCAGATCAACTCATTCAAGACTGCTGTTCAATATAACTACGCCCAGAAATAGAATTACTCCTTCCCCTGCTTTAATTCACCCTATCATATTTGAAAAAGAAAACTAAAAAATAGAAGAAGTAGAAGAAAATGAAACCATTATCCCAGCTAGAAACGCTAGAGTTTCTCTTCAAATAAACTAATCCAAAATCGGTAGTGCATAATCTATACAAAATCAGTAGCAATCCTAATCTATAACTATCCCCAAAATTAATTTTGATAATTTAGCTACAAGAAGTATCAAAGGTGCCAATAACTTAGACTTAAAATAAGAAAAGCATAAAACTTAAAAATCAATTACAATGCAACAAAGAAGAAAAGCTTAGTAAGCGTATAGGTATTTAACAGTATATAGGGATCCAGCACTTACTGAAAAGATTATAAAGAAAGTCACAAAACAGACTAAATGCAAAAAAGCATAAAGGGAGTGCAACAACTGCTTGAAAAGGTGTCATAACAGATTCTTATGTCGGCAGAGGTCTAATAGAAAAGAGCGGTGGGATTTATTTATTATGATACTTGCCACTTGGAATGTATATCTCCTCCCAGTTGAAGTTTCATTCGAACCAGAAGTAATTATATAAACTGGATAATATATCTGATTATTAGGCTTTCTAAGGATCTATTTTGATAATCATAAATTCCTTTGTTGATTTTTGCTTTCTTATCGATATCATTGTAGTTTTCAGAACTGCATTTATTGATTAAGATACAGGATAGGAAATAAGGAGTTCTAACTGAATGGCTAAAAATTATTTAATGGACAGATTTTGGATTGACTTTTTAGCAATGATTCCCCTTGATTACATAACCTCGGTAAAACGGTTTATTAACTCTTTTTAGGCTTTTATTAATAAGAAACTTTCAAAAAAGTTCTAGTTGTTTGGACTATTAAAACTGATAAGAATACTTAGGCTAAATAGAATTATCACTTATATGAATATTAAGCAGAACACCAAAATGGGTTTAAAGCTAGTCTAACTTATATTCTATTTGCTAATGTATCTGCATTTGACATCTTGTGCCTGGTTTTATATAATTAACATTGAGTAGACATGGCTTCCTCCAGCTGATTACTAATATGATGAAACTTAATTTTATCAGAAGAGTGTTGGATTCCAGTATTGGCTGAGTTTCTATACCAGTGCTTAATATCTCACTAGCAATGATCAAAGTCCTCACAGCAACACTGAGATTGTATATGGCAGTTTGGTATGTATTGGTGGAGCCCTTCTTAGTGCTAATTTATTTGGATAATTGTCAGTGATTGTATCTAATTTGGACTAAAAAACAAATGAATTTCAAAAAAAGATAGACTAATCAAATACCGCAATGAAGAACATAAAATTGCCAAAGGACATTCAAGATTAGGTTATAAATTTTATAAAAACGACTTAGAGTTCTCTTGATTAACAGAAGGAGCTTGATATATTCTTATCAATGGTTTCCCCTAGTTTAAGAAAAGAAGTCATGAAATTTATATTCGATATTATACTTAAGAAAAATGACCTTTTCAAAAACCTCTCAAAGTAACTTAGTTAACATTATATTTATAGTAATCGACTAGAGATAAGAGTAAACAAAATAGTCTAGAAGCTGCATACCTTACTATTCACCCCTGAAGACTAAATAATTGTTCAGGGAGATGAATCTTAATTTTTATTTTTCTTGTCAACAGGTTCAGTCTAAGTATCGGTCAGAAATCACAGATAAAAGGATGTTATTTGTAATACATTGCAGCAGGGCTAAATCTTTGGAGTAATTTATATTAAAGTTATTTTTATATAGGAATTAGGTTTGATATTCAAATGCTAAAGAACAGCATCTGTTAGGAGTACTAACTACTGTGTCATTGAAACATTAGAGGAAGAAGATTTTTAGAGTGTTATTATGCATGATTCATTTTTGCTCAAAAGACTAAAGCATCAAATATTCAACTATCAAGATAATTACACGATTTTCTTGAAAGTAATAATATCAATAGCCTTAATATTTCTATAATTAGAATTTATTATGCAAATCAGTTGATTATTTTAAAGACTTAGATAATAGACCTATGACTGAGCTGATATTTCATGTCAAACAAAAATTCTTTTAAAAAGATTCAATTATCATGAAGCAGGGAGAAATAGTCGAAAATATCTTCATTATCATAGATGGTGATGTAGCGGTGAATATAAGTTCTGGTTAATAAACATCAGTACTGGAGACTCTCTATAAGTTCTGTTCATTTGGAAGTTATACTTGTTTAATGTAAGAAGATATTAGGTACAGTACTTGCTAAATGTCAGCTCTTACTGACTGTACAATGCTATACTTGCCTATTGCAACATTTTTCAATCTAAGAAATGTGTACAAATAAATTGACAAAATAATATATGACACTGAGTAGTTTCTTTCAATTTATGGTCTTCCATTTTGTGATTTCAAACTTTACAGAAGATCAGCTTTTAAAAACCCAAAGGTGATTTTCCAAGGAGCAGTTAGGAGAGTTATTAAGCTTAATAATAGGAATTTATAAGATAAGAAGGGAGGGAGTCTTAAGAATCTACTCAACACCATGCAGGAAAAATTAATTATGGAGAAGGTTAACTAAGAAATTTCTAAGTCAATGAAAAAAATATCATAAAGATAGCAAAGAGTAATTGAAACTAAGCTATTGGGGAAGTTCACTGAGATACCTATTTTAAGCGATATCGATTTGATAAATAAGATGATTTAACAATAAAATTAAAGAATCGCACAAATTCAAGACTTTCTTAGGAACTAAGTTTTGGATCATATTGATCGAAATCCTAACACATAAATGAAAAGAAGATATGTCAAGAGAATTCACCTTGACAGTTGATTAAATTCTGATACGTTTCTTAGACAAACAATATTAATAGTGATACTTTAATTTCATTACCCAAGATTATTTACTATTAACTAAATTTGCTAGCATAAATGTTATTAACGGGGTTTTGGGGTTTTGGGG